ATTAAGACTTTTAAAGCCAACATGCCGGAAGTACATTAGTAAAAATTACTTATAATGGGTTTTAGACAGCCCATGTACACACGAAGCTACAGAGTGTATGAATATCTGTAACAGTGATGCATTATGATTTTTATCATTAGGAACGAATCTTGCTGTTTCTTTAAAAACAACAGCTCCCATAGTCTAAATGCTCCAAGCAGAATGACTGGTTTTCACCAGTTTAGGCTAATGGACTCCTTTCCCACTTAAAAATAAACTCAGCACTTTGATTACCAACAAGGCAAAAGGAATACCCTCTTTTCAGTTTCTTTAGCAACCTTTACTATTTTCTTTGCATACTTTTATAATCATTCTCAGATAGAAGACACCTGCATAACTCAAAAATTATTAAAGGTAAAATCTAAAGTATACTTGCTTTCCTTGTTGGATAAAAGACAGAGAGTAAAGATTTGCACATATAAATTAAAGGGTCTTTCTATTTGTTAAGAAAGCAAATAAACTCTGCTAATCACTATTAATCTACAACTGTGTATTCTGAGATTAACATATCTTCACCACTCCATTCATGATGTCTCAATCGAACTATCCCCGGCAGTTTTGCTTCCACCAAAAATAAAAACCATTTTGCAGCATGAACAGCCAAAGCCCTAAATTTAACCCACCCCATTCCTTCACCCTAATACATGACAGGTATCTAGGTACCTGGAGAAAACGTAAGCAAGCCACCAAATAAAGACATAAGTTATATTTTATAAGAACGCTCTCCAATATGATTTCCATTGCTTTAACCTTTTGAGGGGATCTATAAAATCATATTTTCTCCCTCTCCCATCTCACTCATTTCAGCTGATTCTTCCTACAACCATCCTCACCAAATGTTCAAAGCTGGTGTAGATGTTATGGGACACTGAAAGGAGTCTCTGACTGTAACTTCATGTAAAGCAGTAGACAAGAACTTCATATTTCCATCCAACAATACCGCTCACTGCTCAAGCCCAGCTCCTCATGTCACGATGAAGCAGCATAAGATCAGTATTTTTAAGGACACTTGCAAGGCGTAAGTATCTTGATGCCTAGACTGCAAGGCTTTTGTGGGTTTATTTGCATTTCAGTGAATATTTACAACAAACTTTACAAATACTTGCTAATTACTTTTTATCCCTCCCTTGTAAACCAAGTAACTATGATCTTTCCTATAGATAAAGACCGTACAGCAAAGCAGTTGTGTAACTTGCCGTCAGATGCTGAAAGGGGGGGGTGCTGCAGGCAGCGCCTGCTCCAGTGCCCTGGGCCACACTGAGTCCCGTGCTGCTGAGTTACCCAACTTCACAGAGAAGGGGACAGCGCCTGTGAACAGATTTACAGTCTTCTCAGAAAGTGAAGGCTATATAGCTATGAACTTTGTTAACCCCAGGGCCATTTTTGAGGTCCTGCACTAAGTACCTGAGCAATCCATAATCCTTGGGAAAAATCAATGACAAATACTAATTACTTCTTTAAACAGCATCACGTTTCAACCATTATTCAAAAGTAAAAGGCCTAAAAAGCTTGCTTAATTTGAAATGTGATATCTGAGACTAGCACTGACATTCTAGGTCCTGCTGGGCATCTGCAGTCACTCTTTTAAACAGTGCGTAATTATGCCTCTTGTACTTTCTTACAAACTATTTAGACGTATTTTTGCACTTTACTAAAGCATAACGAGTACTTTGCACTTATGAGCCATCAAAGGATACCAAAATCATTTCCAGTTATCAACTAGTCAAACTCACAATACACATGTATGATTCAGCTAAGAATCGGGTAAATGTCTGTTTCAGAGATGCTTAAACCAACGCAAAGAAAGATTTAGTTGCCCGATGCTTCTCCTCTTATGACAGTATCTTACGCTAGTAGCTTTCCAAATCTACATAATAGCATTCTGTCAAATAGCAGTTTGTGAATGATTGCTCTGTTAAGCCTGGAATGAAAGGAGTACTGCTGTACTCTTTAATTTCATTTCACAGTCTATGACACCCAAAACAATAAAATGAAAACAGAAGTAATATTCAGATGTAACTCCTGAACTTTAGAAACAAAGAACAGTGTTGAAGGTTTCAAAGCAATTGTACATACATGGATCACATTTCATATTTACAAAAAACATGTTTGGTAGATGTCACTATCTGAATAGCAAACTGCATACACTAAAAGGTGAAATTTTTTTAGAATCTCAAATAAAGTAAACCTTCTTGTCAACAAACTAGTTTCACTATTTATATAACATCACTGGATGGTCTTGCTAGAATAATCTTGTGCGTGCACTATCCCCCAATATGTTACCATGGCAACTTATATTTGAATTTCTATAAATTTCTATTTTTAGAGATCACAGTTTAGGATAAAGACAATCACAAATATTAAGTACCATTTCGTTAATAGAAAATATCCCATTTTTATCATCATCATACTTCCCAGAACAGACATTGCTGAAGTTAAATCAGGCAGCAATGCTAAAAAAAATAATTACCACAGTTATTAAGAAAGTTTACCACTAAGCAGCCTCAACATGATCTAGAGTGGTGTATGAGTCAGTAGCTAACGCTATGAGGCAAAGATTGATGTTCACTGAGTTTTGTCTTTATTTCAGTAAGGCCAGGATTTCACTCAAATGTTTTTGGAGTTAGTCATCATTTCAGCTGAAACAAAACAAAACTGTATTTGCCAGAATACTCAGAAAATAATGTCTTTGTTTCAGGTGTGGGAAAGTGTTGAATTGACAGTAACGTCTCAGTGCCAAACTAAGGTTACCATCACCTTAAGTTACTGTGTTCAAGAGTGCTTACTAAGTGCCTGCCAGTCCTTAAATACACATTTACTGAATACTTTAAAACTTGCCAGCAATTCTCAAAGTTGTCTCTCTACCTGAAAGATCAAGGTACAGAGTAGCAACCGTAAAGAAAATGAAAACACTGATTTAGACACTGTTGTTACGGCTCTGACACTGCCTTACTCTGGCTGCTTCAGGTTGAAAATAGAATAGAATGTTTAAAACTAGTTTTTAAGTTATAAAAAGGTAAATACCTTCTTTTCTAAGAGACGACTATTGCTGTGTCGCAATTTTCTATTCCAGTGTTAACGATGGCATTCATTTTGCAAACTCGAAATATCTTTACCCAAGTCCCTGACAGTTCAGGATGGTCTAGTACAGATGGAAAATTTGGAGAGCAAGTGCCTACAGGCTCTGTCAAAGAGTGGACCGAAGTGGACTGAAAAACCAAGTGACAGCTACAACTCCAGGGTGCAATTGCAATCAGCATGCCTACCTTTCTATTTCTCCTGATATCTTCCATTTAACATTTACTTCGCACTCCTCAGTTCTCCAGCAAAGTTGAGTGGAAAGATTCCCTGTTGTAAAAGCTGCAGATTCGACGCTGTCAGCAACTTTCCACGAAACGGTAGGTGAAAGACAACCTGCAGCACAATCACCGCGTGCACTACTGTTTCGTCAGGTGACAGCCAAATTTCCTTTAGGATTCAGACAGCTAAGATGCGAGCAACACGGGTATGTCATTGATGAGCAAAGATATAGACACTTCTGGTAGTTTTTCTTCAGAACCAGTCCTTTATTAAAAATGCATTTCAAGTATCAGCTGGAGCCAGCTGTCAAGGGAAAACGTATTGGTGGGCAACCTTCAAAAACGTAAACAACGCTGGCACTCAGCAAGTGACAGTAATAACTACAAGGACGTTTACTTTCTGGTTAACTTACCTCACTAAGCCCACAGGAGTTGCTAACATTCACAGAAACTGCATCAGGCCATAGGGTACAATTCAGGAAGCCACTTAACCACACGCTTACGGTCACATCTATAAGATTGCCAGTGAAAACAGTGGAACTAATCGTGAAGCGAGACCCACCATAACAGCACTTTCTGCAGGATGAGGCTTAGCTCTGAATACTTCACGGGAATCCTGGTAAATATGCTGCAAAACACTTATTACCATTTTATAATCACACACTTCCAATTACAAGTTATTTTTCTTGTATTGCAGGGAGGATTTGCTGGTGGTTACTTTTCTCGTTGTTGAATTCAAGGCACCGCTGTGTATTTCTCTCAAAGGAATTACAACCATTTTTTTGCTCCAAAGCCCTGGGTTAGAAAGTGAACCCGCATCGCCACTGACAACAGCAACTAAAAGACGGAACTAAAATCCAAATCATCAAAGTAGAAAGCAGTCAGCATCAAAATCTAAAATCCCTATCTAAATAACGGAAACCTAGTATGAGCATTTAGTACTTTGTACCCATAGCCTCCGTCACAGAGCCCGTGAGGGTCACCCTGAGAAATCAATGGAGGAAGAGCCAGGGTGACCCCCTGTCACACTTACTTCGTTGAACTCAGATCACCTCCCAGCGCAGACAGAGTGAAGCTGGGAAAGGGCTGAGGTCGCTCTCCTGCACTGCTGTCACCACCTCACCCCAAACCCGAGACCTCCGACAGCTGAGGGAGGAATGATGGTCTCCCGGTGCGGCCAGCTGCTCCAGCCCCAAACGCACCTCCGTGCAGGTGCTTAGAAAGGATGAAGGCACCTTGGGGCTGTTTCTGCCCACACACACACACAAACGGGTCCCACAGCGAGCAGCACCTCCATACCCCCACCCAGGCCAGGCGGGCAAGCGTGGCTCCCTCACAGGCTCCTCAGGGCACGACTCCCACCTCGCCCCGTGTACACTCTCATGGGTTGACGCCAGCCCAGCGGGACGCCCTCACTGCCCGACATTGCCTGCAGATGCAGAGGCAACAAACACCACTGCCCCACAGGGGCTGATGTTGCCCCCCATGCAGCAGCCCACCAAAGCATCACCTCCGCACCCCCACCCCAAGCGGGACGAGCTTCCCCTCGACGGCCCGTGCGCCTGCCTCCCATGCAGGGGACCATGGCGTGTGCACCCCTGGCAGCCCCTCGGCCTCCCCAGCCGCCCCGGGCGGGAGCGCCATCCGTCCGGCGGCGCTTACCCTGGCGGCCCGCGAGGAGTAGGGGTCCTCGAAGAGCGCCCAGACGCGGGGCTGCAGCCGCCTCCAGCGCCCGCCCTTGCCCTCGGCGGTCGCCCCCACGTCCTCGATGCCCAGCCTCTTGGCGGCCAGGTCGTCGTCGTCGCCGTCGGGGGGCGGCTCGCCCGTCAGCAGGTCAGGCGCCTCGAAGATGTCGAGGGCCTCCTCGGCGTCGCGGTGCTGGCGGTAGGTCATCCAGCAGCAGGGCTCCACGTCGGTCTCGTCGATGCCCCAGAAGGCCAGCTCCTCCTCGAAGAGCGGCCCGCAGACGTCGGCGGGGCAATGCAGCTTGCCGGTGCGGTAGTAGTTGAGCACATAGGCGAAGACCCCCG